CCAAATTAAGTGTGCCCTTAAAAAAAATTAACAAATACTACCTAGGTAAATATTAAAAACATCGTAAGAAGTATAAAAATCTTATTTCCAAAAAACGATAACAACGAATCGCTACCGAGCCTACCTCCTGGTTGTGGTGAGTTCTGAAATCCAACGCTTCTAAGAACAGCGTAAAGAGATTGGAATGGTAGGTTTTAATATCCTCCTTTTTCATGGCTTTCACACATTCTGCCAGGACATCCATAAGCACGAAAACACGTTCCTAAAAAGATGACAACAAAACAGGTTATCGCGAACGATTGCCGACAATGTTCGCTTTGGCACCAGAAACAAAGTGGGATTTTAAACCAATCAGAGAAGGGCACGAACACCCGAGAACTAAAAAATTAAGGAGAATATTAAGGTGGCTTTCGATGTAAATTAGATCACAGTTTGATAAGAGGCTGTAATGTTCCTGAGGTAACTGATTCCAACGGGAAAACATTAAAATTGACGATCATGATTGGAGATCTGAATGATAACATAAAGATAAACTACAAAAAACTTAGTCAAAAAATTATCAACCTTGTGTTTGTTGACAATACTGTTGTAGCAATCAGACACTGCCGATATCAGCACTCGGGGTGCAATATTACAAGCCAGTTCTTTCCTAAAAAGGAAGAAAAGAAAGTAAGAGGAGAGGAAGGCTTAGCAACACATTTCAACGAAATCTCTGTCAGTCAAATGCACTACACTGGGTCAGTGAAAACGTAGGGTGGAAGTTTGTCAAGTCTATTCATCGCAAAAGATACCTGAGCAAGACTACACGATCCTTTAACTGTACATCCACAGTCGACTGCTTTGTAACCTCTTCCTTTTCTTGCTGGACCTCTGTAACCTCTCCTCCAGTAAGAGATGGTTGCGTCACCTTCAAAAAAGTTAAACTACCCAGTTTGACATGAACTACATGAAAATCACTCCAGTCTATACAGCCTCAAGGTTGGAAGCTTGAGGAATATCACCTTGGGATTATCACCCGTTATTCCTCAGTTTCAGGTGGGCCATTGGCGGTCACGTGACGCGTTTGAACCAATCGCACGCGGGCAAAAATAATTGATATATCTTACAGAAGCGAGTACCAGCGGGAAAAAACCTACCATAATCAGAATATCCACTAAATGAGGACTAAGAAAATGTGGAAGTGCTTCTGTGGCTTTGTACAAAGCTGTTATACCACACAGAGTCAACAGGCTGTTCCTGGAAGAGAGAAATTCGTATATTCATACATCACAGATGGCTTAAAGAAAGATGTTACTGGTCTTGTTATGATCGTGGACCAAATGTAAAATCTGCCATTTCGACAAACAGCGCGAAGTCATCATCAAAGCTAAGATTTCATCGGACGCATGCTATTTTTTTTATCTACCTCAGTGTCAAATGAATTAAACATCTTTACAGATATCTTATTAATAGTGAAGTCTTTACCTCTCTTTTTGATTTCTTTTGAGCAGTTTCAGTACAGAAGGCATCAGCTTTGGCAAGAAGGGAATGCAGTGCGTTTTAAGTCCACCGAGCACTTCTGCTGCACAGAGCAACGCGCTTGAAGCAACCTTGAGGTCAAAGAAGTAAGGAAATCTTTAATTTTCGATAACTAAAGAAAAGCTGACCACAGGGCCGGGGCCAATCAGAACGAAAGAAAACATTATTTGGAGCCAATGAGAAATAAAGTAAACCAAGCGAAGTGTCTAGACATTGGATCAAGATTTGAACCCTGGACGGGATATTAGCGAGATGATTTATTCTAATAGCCCCTCCCTACACCACTGAGTGTATGTCAGTGCTGGAAAACTGTAGGGAAACTCGACAAACTGCTAGGGAGGGGAAGGAGGGTGAACAGCCTTCCGTACATTTGGCATCCCATTGGAAAGGAGGTTATGATATTCTCTCAAGTCTTTTGTGGCGTTGATTCTCAAACACGACCCACTGCAACTGAGACTGTATTACCGACAAATGCTGAAATGCGTCACCAAGGAGAACGAGAATGTAGACAT